TAGGACGCCTCCCATTTGTGGAGGGTCCTATATATATATATATAAAAAAAAGGAAGAAACAATAACTTGACGATAATAAGGAATCTTAAGTATTTCTATTTAAACGTTTCTATCAGTGTCTTTGACTTGAAATCAATGATTCTATTTACTATTTATAAAATACGGAGAATTTTACAATAAGCAAAAGAGAGATCACAAAGAACTAACTATTTAATTTCCTCTCATCCTCAAACCCATAAGATCAGTTGCTACCACGTGAAACTTAAAAGTGCATATAATTCAAGAGCAAAAGATCTGAACACTGCTATACCACATAACAACATACAAATAAATAAATTAAATAACAAGAATAAAATAGGCTCACATAACACTAAATTGACTTAATCCCTCTTCTATATATAATGAAAAATTAATGATACTCCTAAATACACAAAATAATGACACTTAAGCACACAAAACTATGCCATGTGTCATATGTTATTTTGATATTAAATTAGACATCTTATATGATTGAGTTTATTTTTTATCCATAGTTAAAATGCTCATCAAACTAAATCTATAGAAAGTTCTAATTATAGTCAAATATGTGGTAATCTTACTCATATCAAGCTTATCCATAATTATTAAAAAAATCTAATGATCATATTATTATTTCTCTTTTCTTTTATATACAGAGGAGGGATTGGTTTATGATTAGCTTTATATTTCAAAAAATTGCAACGCCTCTCCTCAATTTTTAAGAGATAAATTTCACCAAATCTCTAGTAAGTTTAATATTTGACACTCAACTTGCCAAATTTTTCAAACCCTCGATAAATTTTAGAATTTCAGAGATCCACCAAAATATTTTGAGCTTTTGTATTTAATCGCATAAAGGCATTACCTCATAATTTTGCATTAACAAACTTTATCCCTCAAGGAAAATTTATACCCCTCAAATCATTCTTATTTACAGATTAACCTATAAAATACTGCCGTGTATCCCTTGTTAAGTTGAACTTGAAATTTTGGAATAAAAACTATCTAGCACTTATTAAGTGAGGTAGTGTTTTCTTTCTTTCATGTTTTTTTTTTGGGAAACATTCATTAAAAAAGAGGGATATTATAAAGAATGATTTGTGGTTGAACCATCTAATTTTAAATCTCAAATTTTGCTTATTTTGTATTTCCTTCATCTACTTTTGAAAAAGTAGTAGTCCAAAAAAAAAAGAAAAAAAGAAATTAGAACAATTCAGTTTTAAGAAGCAAGGCTATAACAAAAAAAAACTCATATATAGAATAAAAAAATCAGATATATATAAATCAAATAAACAAAAATAACACGTCGGAGCACAGGGACGATGCTCATCACTAAGTAACACTAAATTCTGCTTAGACTACAAACCAACGCATTTAATGGATCCACTAAATTACTCTTATTTCCAAAGCTTTGAGAACTTTCTATTTTAAATAAAATATAAAAAGAGGAAAAAAGAGAAGGCGGCTGGGATAT